ATTCGGGTGTATTCATGATGGCAGTCTATTATTTCTACCTTCTACCAAAATGCATGCTAAAGTCATTTACACCGTTCATGTTCTCCACCTAATTCCCTCTGCATTAATTATAGAATGACCTTTCAAGTCGGCCCTATTAACGTACTTACATGGAAAATATATTCCATCACATCACATCTGTGTTTACCGTGATGCTGACCTTTGCGTGATTTGATTACACCTCACATTTGCAGTGCAGTGGGAGGCTCTTGTTAATGATGTCACTTCCTTGTGCCCGTGTCAGAGTTTGATGGAGAGCTGGTCGGATGACAGCTGGAACTGTTGTCATAACCGGAGGAATACTGGCCACAGTGATACTTCTGTGTATCATAGCTGTGCTCTGTTACTGTAGACTCCAGGTACGTCTCTTTCTGTGTATGTGTGTGTGAGAAAGATGTTTAAATCCCACTTCAATATTAATCCTTCTGCCACATTTCTTTTTTTATCACAGCATCTTACAGGAGGCTGTAGGCTATAGAAGAAGAGTAATACATCTACACTGTTTTCAAATTGCATATCCTTATGAAATATAATAAAATAATCATATAATCCCGGCAATGATAATTATTTCAATGAATGGTAATTGTATTTGGAATATTCTATAAGAATTTAGACAGCTTAAACAATATGGTATTGGCTTTGGCTTGAACCAGAGACCATTAATTTAATTTACTTTTATTATACACTATACTTACTTTTCTTAAAGGTCCAGTGTGTAGGATTTAGTGTCATCTAGTGGTGAGGTTGCAGAACTGAAACTTCTCTCATGTGCCAAGAATATTGGAGAACCACAGTGGCTGACAAGAATATGCCAAAATGTGAATGGCCCTATGTAGTATGTATGTAAGTATATAAGAGGATTCGCACATATAAACCACTCATTCTAAGGTAACAAAAACACAACAATTTTTATTTTCAGGGGATTATAATCTAACGAAAACATAGTTATGAATACTATATTGTTAGGAGTGATAGGGGGATTATAGTTCCTCTTTTCTTTTCCTTTTCCTTTCATTTACGTTTTGGACTGGTTTCCGCTGAGAAATAAAGGTATGGTTGAGCTGTGTGTTTGTTTACATCACATCATTAAGGTGCGCACGCACCCTCTGGAGTTAGTTAATGAGGTGACAAGATTCAGGTGTGTGAGCGTGGCAGAGGAAAATGTTTGCTTCCATGTCATGAGGAGTCCCTCCATTTTTGAAAGTGACGCTGAAGAGGACGACAGCTACACCCACCCAGCCAAGCCACAGACTCTGTGAGAGCGAAACCAGTTTATGTTTGTTTTCGGATCCATTTTAACTACAAAAAAAAAACTGAACTATTGGGAAGAGCCAGGACGGAGCTCGCCGCTCACCGGGAGCCGCGGCCAGAGCTGGCGGTGCCTGGACTGACTGACCAGCCTCTGAATGCACCTAGCCTGCGGACCTGGTAAGCTGGCCTACCTGTATTATTTCTCGTGCCTGGCAAACCAGTCCGCTGTTCCGTTCTTTCCTCCATTTGTTTCCTTCAATCACACTCCAGGTTAGGGCTAGCCTCTCATCTGAGCTGTTGACATCCTTAGACTTGACTAGTCTGTAACAATATATAATTTCTGCCAATAGATGCCCCTAAATCATGCACACTGGACCTTCAAAACAGAAACATTTGCCTGTGGGAAGAAAGAATCCTACAAGCTCTCAGTGCAGCGTTTCTTGTTTTAGGAATGTTGTAGAAATGCTGCCAGAATCTTAAAAAAACAGAATCAGAATCAGAATCAGAAATACTTTATTGATCCCCGAGGGGAAATTATTTATGTTACAGGTGCTCCTTGCAAGAGAGGCAAAGGAGAGGACAAAGCAAAGCAAGTCATTTCCTTAGTTTCCAGAAAACAGCATCTGAATGTCCTGGATTCTTGAACTGTGTTGATTAAATCACAAACAGAGAATTGATCCCATTCTCTTTGCAGGTTTCTTCATTTATTTTAAGACAGCAAGATCGAACTTAGAAAAAAAAAACTGAAAATTGGAAAACTGTTTTTGTTTGACATGTACTGGACTTCTCTCTCTGTCTCTCTGCAGTACTACTGCTGTAAGAAGAATGGGTCTGACAGCGGCTCCATCTCTCAGCAACACTTTGCCTGCAACGCCTGCAGCGTCCCCGGCCTGGACGGGTCGATTGTCACCCCGCTGTCCATGTCCCCACCAGAGCCGCCCGGATCCTCCGACCCCTCCAAACCTACAGGGAGGCAACGCAGCTACTGCCCCACCTGCTCGCCCTATGACTCGCCCTTCTACATCCGCACCACTGATGAGATGCGCAACGGTGGCGAGCGCATCACGTACATGCCCACACACTATGAGAACCAGGCGCTGGCGATGCCGCTGCCCACCGTCCGAGGCTCCCTGCTGAGAGAGACCCACAGAGGGCGGCCTCCGGAGTTCTACACCAACACCCGAGCCATCAGCACTGAGGTGTGACCACCCCAAAATCCCCCACAACACCACCCATACACACACAGACACTCTTGTCCTCACTTACACACACCAGCACCACCACTTACAAGACCGCAAACATGATTTTGACACGTACAGCAGCTGCCATTGAGGATCTGCTGCGTAAAGGCCCACTGTTTGTAAAGGTTATCACATTTATTTTGGGTTTGGGGGGAATTTAATTGAGGATTGTCTCAAGTGCGGGATAAACAGGGATCACTCTCAAACCTAGTTACTCACTTTTTACCCTTAAATTTAGTTTTCATCTTCACTAAGATAGTACTTCTGTAATTGACGGTAGATAAAATTGTAGGTTTCTTGTAAGAAAATGCTTCTTTATGCTCCCACATGAAGGGTATGGTTGTAAATTGTAATCTATCTATTGACTGTTACTGTGTCTTTACCGACTGAGGGCTATCTTAGATAATTTATGATTTCCCCACTGCTATACACATCTTCCTAATGACTGCCAAAAAGACAAAAAAGGAGTACAGTGAAGTATCTAGTAAATATCGAGCAATGTTATAATGAAAAGGGAGGCTGAAATACATTTGAAAAGGTTACAAAAAGGAAAAGTCGACATCCCCTCTGCAGTTTTCTGGATCTCTGGAAGCATGCTTGAGTTACAGGAAAGGTGGAAGAGGGCGGACGACTGGAGCTCTCTCTATGCAAGCTGTCTGGCAAACTACTGCAGCTCTTCATCTCCAGTCAACTCCTGTCAGCGGTTATTGTCCCATCATGTAACTCTCTTGGAGGAATATTGTTAACATGGTACACACCCGGTGAGATATGACAATGCTGCACATGTAGATAGACGTTCAAGCATTTAAAACTGGATCATGGACACAGCAGCTCTCACGAGTTGCCAGATCCACATTGACCCCCCACTTTCTCCCCTGAGGTGTGAACCTGTGAACGAGCAAGGGCGCATGAGCCCTTGAACGCAACAGTGACAAGCTTGAAATGAACTGAGTGAATTTCTCTTTTGACAGTGATGCAAAAAGTTTGATATGTAAATATTAACCAGAAAGCAATGAAAGTGTCTTGTGGTCCCGCTGTGTCCTCGACGGAGAGAGATGCACCCTGGGATTTGGACATGATGTATTTTGAATGAGGGAGTGTGATTTACTAGTTTGTGCTAATTTGTCTACACACTCCTCCTATACTCCTGTACTACTCTCATGTTGAATCTTTGAAATGCAAATAATCATGTCATTTCTTTTCATGTTTTGTTTTCATATTGTGAGAAGTCAGAATACACATTTATGTGATTGAAAACTGTTTCACAGTGCTCATTTTCTACATGACACTTAACCAACATTGCTTGTCATACACAGTAATATTTCATGTGATATTTGTCTTTATATTTATGTGTACAGTAGGACTCAATGAGGCTGAATATACAATGCAAGGGACCTTAAGGACTTGCATGGTGTAACTGTAATTTTGCAGGATTTCAGACAGGCCTAGTGTTATCATTCGAGCATTAACAACAGTGCATCTAACAGAATTCATCGATCAGCAGCTACTTCATTTATTTCTCTATTACTTTTAACATTAAAGTTAAATAGTTGCCAACTGCAGTGCCATTACACTATACATCTCGAAACTTCTCAAAACCATTTCACAACAGAATTGTGTTTTCCCCCCTCCGGATGACCTTAAAGTGGCAAATAAATATACAGAGTAGAGGCAAAATGAAGGTTCACCACTAAAGGTTGCCAGACTCTGAGGATCTCAGAGGATGATTCAATGACATTAAACCAGAGTTTCTTCATGTCGTCATTCATTACCACAGATACGGATTCATAATCATCATTCATTTAGGGATTGTATTAACTATATATTTTACTACTTACTTAACCAGTTATCTTTGAAAACAGAGAGAAAAAAAAGATTTTTAGAAATGTGGTTAAACAGATATCGTACCTGACAAACACAGAAACAGTAATATTTGACAGTGTTAACTTTTGACAATTAAAGATTTGTAACTGCTTGAAATGGCTCTTTGTGTAATGATTGACGAGACAACACACACACACACACACACACACACACACACACGTCATGTCAGAGAGAAACTAATCAAATAACTAACTAATCATGAGCTCTAAAGGCAGCAGCAGGAACTTTGACCTCCAGCTACTGATTATCAGACAATCAGGTGCTTTCATTTCAGAATGAAGCAGGACAAAAATTTAAATGCAACATTTGTTTTCACTCCCATTTTCCACAGGTTTAAATTTAAGATCTGAGACTTTTGTCATGCACTCAATAGATATATTTGTCTCAAACTGTAGTCACAAATTTGTTAAAGTCCATGTTAATAAGCACTTCTCCTTCTCCAAGATAATCCATCCACCTGACAGGTGTGGCATATCAAGAAGCAGATTAAACAGCATCATTGCTATACCAGTGTGCCTTGGGGTGTGCAGGTTTATCACACAACACAATGTTACTAGTTTTGGGGGAGCGTATCATTGGCATGCTGACTGCAGGAATGTCCACCAGAGCCGTTGCCCATGAAGTAAATGTTCATTTTACTACCATAAGATGTCGCCATTGTTGTTTGTTTATTTGACAGTACATCCAACCGGCTTCACAACTGCAGACCACATGTAGCCACACCAGCTCATGACCTCCACATACTGTGTCTTCACCTGCAACATTGTTTAAGATCAGCCTGCTGGTCAGCTGATGCACCAAATGGTTTGCACAGCTAAAGAATATCTGCACAAACTGTCAGGCTCCATCTCAAAGAAGCACATCTGCATGCTCATCTTTTTCACCAGGGTCTTGACCTGACAGCAGTTATTCCTAATAACTGACATGCAGTTATGAGGCCAGATGGATGTACTGCCACATTCAGGGAAACAACCTTAAAGACATCTCATAAACATTCAATTAAAGGGCAGCAGCTCTGGCAGACATTCCTGCAATCATTGCCATACTACTACAAAACGTGTGACATCTTTGACATTGTGTTGGTTGATCAAACTAAATATTTTAGAGTGGCCTTTTATTGTGACCATCCCAAGGCACACCTGTGCAGTAATGAAGCTGTTTAATCAGCATCTTGATGTGTGACACCTGTCATGTGGATGGATTATCTTGGAAAAGAAGAAGTGTTCACTAACAAGGGTTTTAAGAGAGATTTGTCCATTGAGTGCATGAAAAAGTCTTACGTCTTCAACTTAAACCTGTGAAAAATGTGAGTAAAAACAAAAGTGTTACATTTAGTTTATGATCTTCCCTTGAGAATGCCCTTTAATGTAAAACATAAGACATTTTCAGATTTCCCAATTTGATCCAACAAGTATCGAGAGATGTTGAAATGATGCTACCTGATGGAAAAGATGACTTGTTGAACCTAAAAGCACAATAGATAATTTTTATTCATGTCATACAAATAAATGGTTGTGTGCAAATACAACTATATAACAAAAATGAAGTGGTAAAAATCCCAAATTCCTAAATAGAAATGATTGTCCAAGGTGTGTGGGCCAGACACTCTACAGGAGTAACGCGCATGCGTGAAATTCCAAACCGGAAGGCGTGTCACTAAACTCCCGAGTGATTCATCTTCCTAAACATATACGATCTTCGCTGCAACTCTTCTGACAGCTAGCAAGCAACTCCTCTACGCTTTAAACAAGTAAGTTGACAGCTCTTTTATCAACACGTACGCTCGTTTTAGTGTCACGTTTACATGCTGTGGGAAGAGAAACGTTGTTTTCCCTCTTTTTTTTCTCGTCATTTCTTTCCGGAGCCGGGCGGGGTGTTGCTCAGTGAGGTCGCTCCTCCAGATAGTGGTCCAACTGTTTTGGACTTCGAGCTGGTTAGCGTTAGCTAAACTTAGCTTTAGCTCGCAGGTCTAGCCTGGCACACATAGGTACTTCCTGTTTAGCCTGAATTCACCTGTCCTGGCAACTCGCTCCTTGTCTACAGGTCTGCATGAGACAAGTCAGCGTGGTTGCTGTCATTATATTATTATGAAAAGGATGCGGTTAATGTACGGACAAGTTAGCTTGCCGCTAGCTAAGTTTGCCCTGCCTGTGTATGTCTGTGTTATGCTAGCTGCTATTAGATGAGTCTGTCCGCTTTATAGTACCTTGCCAGTTTAATTTAACTTTCTAAATGTCCGTTAAACAGCTGCTGTATAAGAAAAGCTGCCGTACAAAGCTAGCCTGCTGCTGATGCTGTCAGGGACAGTGATGTGCTCCATCCAGGCCTGCAGACACTAGAGAGAAAAGCAATAACAGTGTAATGCAGTAACTGCAGAGAAAATCTAGCCCCACACTTAAAAATACAATATATAATTGAGGTTTGAACCGCAACGTCAATATCTACAAACACTGACAAGTATCTCCTCAGCTGGAAAAAAAGGAGCATCAACATCTGAATTAATGATGCCATTAGGTGACACTTTCTGGAAATCAACTATTTACACAGTGTCAAATTCAAAAAGGGCTCCTGTAGCTTTTGTTTGACATATTCCACCCAGCTGAGTTTGATTTGACTGGAGGGCCTGCAGGTGTGCTGTATAAAATCTACCCAGCCCTCAGGAGCATCACTGCGGCCGCTGTCACAGTGTCACAGCATTTGTTTCCCTGGCTGTGGATCAGCTCCAGGACTTGTCCCTGGATGACATCATCACTACAGTCTGTGTCTTTGCTGTCCAACTGAAGGAGAGACTGAGGCTTAAAGATCACAATACCTCAAGCCATAACTGAAGCAGGACAGGTTAATTTGAACAAATATATACATGTATTTCTGACCTTGAATTGTTAATTCAGAAAAGTTAATTCAGCCCCATAGTGTTCAACTACTTTGAAAAAGGACAGAGGCACTGCTGCACTAAATTGAGCTCCACAGTGTTACATGGTTGGGGTTAACAAGTAACTGTCCATTAATAGGGGGCTGGATTTGTTTTTGAAATGCTCCGCTCGCTTCAGGTCAAACTGGCAATACTTTAACTAAAGTGGTGGATTTAGGGCTGCAGTGTTTAGTCGATTAATTGCTACTATTTTGATAATCAATTAATCATTTTAGTAATTTTTCAAGCAAAAGCAAATGCTGTTTTTTAGCCTATCAAATGTGAAGATATTCTACTTATCTGTGTTTTATATTTGGGTTATACTTGAGGTTTTGGAATATTGGAGTGGACATATTAAGACATGACCTTGGACCTTAAAAACTGTGATGGATATTTAAATAAATAAGCTGCTAATGTATGATTAATAGTTTAATGCCTGTGTCCTAGCTGTGTAGACCGATGGGGAGACATACTGGTAATGATCTAAAAACTATTCGAGCTTTTTGACTGGCAGTAGGCTAGACTGTGGACAAACAGGTTCTAGCCTGATGTAGGCCAGGCTTTAGCATTGGCACAAAACCAAAGTGGCCTTTTGTTGTGTGTGCCGATGGTGTTTCCTTGTCATGAAGGAGCTGCTTTAAGAAGAAGTAGCAGTACACAGCCACCCAGAAAACTAACCAGTATATCAGGAATAAATAAGCTCACATCTGACATTGATTCATCATGTTTACTGAAATGCATAGTCTATTCATAGTCTTGTATGCAGTTTTGTGTTGTTGCTGTGTTTTTCAGTGTGTAATACCGGTTGTCACAACAGCGTACCTCAGGTTGAGACAGTGCATGTCATTCATGGCTGTGTTCAGACTTTTTAATCTACCATAAATAGACCAAACAGATGAGACCATGTACTGTAGCCTATTTGGCTATGAAAATAACTTGGGTTACTTTAGCATCAGACCTAACGGGAAGTGATTCAGGTGTTAGGTGTCACCAGAAAGCACACACACTGTTGTGTGCACCAACAAGCCTCAGAGCAGGTTTCAGTTCCAGTTGCAAGGGAGGCTGAACTGTTTGCATGCAGAGTCACCTGGCTCAGTCCTGTTCACATTAAGGAATGGCTGAGGTTACTTGTAACAAGAAGTGTGATGGATGCTTTGCACAGAAGGGTTTCCAGGAACATTAATGCATACAGGGAAATGAACTCCCAACCCTGACAGTGCAGAAATGTCACATGCTTATTCTAGTACCGAGTCACTCATGTTGACACCGTTGTAACAGATTGGCAGTACAAAGACAGTCTACAGTAAAAACGGTATTGTCTTTTATACCCATTGGACAGGTTTGCCATGCTTTAGTGACAGGACTGTTCAGTGTGCTTTTGCTACATTATCATTCAGAGGCAGGAAAGATGTAGTCAGCAGTTTGGGCAGTCATTAGCTGTGTTCCTCACAGGAAGGTCAGCAGAGTCATAAAGCAGATGAAGTTCAATAAAGGCACTGGTCAGACATGTAGCTTTCATTATCTACAACCAAAAGAGACACCAAGCCAAATGGATTGCCTATCACAGGCTGAAGAGACAGTAGTTAAGGGAAAAGTTTGTTGCAACCCTCCTGTGTCAGTTTTTCACTAATGCATCTTGTGCACAGGGTCATGTATGACAAAGTAATCAAATATAGTGTGATGATAGGTTTTGTGTTGTCACAGCCAATTTTCCTGGTGTCCAGAGTCGTGTAGTTTACCGCTCTGACTCTCATGACAGGACTTTCAATATTCCTGTGTGTCTGTTGACACTGTTGACTGTCGCAGCAGGGCTAGTCGACCCGTAGAAACACACTTACGCCCTCATGGATGTAATGTTTCTGGTTAGCTCAGTGCTTGTGGGTGTCGTTCAGTCTGTCTGCACCACTGGCCACTCACAGTTTCCACAGAGCCAGTGGTTGGGTAGTGAGGCGGCCAACTGGGACTGAACTGGAGGAGCAGGCTGGTAATGACTGGGTGCAAACTTGCTACTGTGTTTACAGTTTGAGTTACAGCCAAAGAGGAAGCTAATGTCCGGCCACACAAGGGAAGCAAGAGCAAGAGAGAGGATAGAAGTAGTGTAATCTAACAGCCAAGTTTGTAACGACCGCCTGGCAACTGACGGATGACAGTAAAATTAGTCTTTAACGGATAAATCTGTCACCTAACACATTTTATTGTGCAATTCAGAAGCCTGTCTGTTTGTTTCTTATTTACTTTTGCTGGCAGAAATACATCTTATCACATAGAGTTGTAGTTTTGCCTTTTCGTTTTACAAAAATCTGAGTTACACAGTGCCTTTCAGTGCCAGTGTGTTTGTGTGAGGGAGGGAGCTTATGGGATGTTCTGTTATTGCACAGTCAACATTAAGTAATTATGATTAATTGCCAGTTCAGCATGGCGGCAGTGTGTTTACCACATGCTTCAGACCGAGTCTGACTTTAGAAGAAGAGGCAGGATCCCACAGAGCCAGTGCATACTTTTGCTCTAAATTACATAATGTTCCTTCTCATTGCAGCTTCCTCCATAAGTGAATAAGTGGGAGTGTTCGCTTTCCTGCTTCACGCTGCTCAGTGTAATTGAATAAATGTGATTGGAGCACATGACCCTCTTCCTCTCCACATGTATGTCTGTGCGGTGTGCACATTGATGTATAATTTGTAAGGGTTACTGCCTTTTGTATGCATGTAATCATGTCACTGCGTGTGAATGAACGCTTTTGTTCTTGGCTGTGTGAGTTTGCTTATGCTAATGTGTGCGTGTGATTGTGTGCATGCTCCATAAATGCTGCATAACTCAAATATTAATGAATCATTTGGCCTATGTCAGAAAATAGGAAGAAAAATTTCATCATAATTTCATTTCTCACAGTCCTTAAAGATGTCCTCACATTTCTTGTTTTGTCTGACCAACAGTCCGAACACAAAGATATCCAGTTTACAGTGATCTGAAAGAGCAAAGCAGCAAATCACATTCTAGAAGCTGGAAGCAATTACATTTTTTTTTTAGTTATTAACAAAAACTTTTTAATTATACGTGTGTTTTATTCATTTATGCTTACTGACTTGCTTACAGCCAGATTTCCTCTGGCTTTGCATGGAGACATGTTTGTTTGTGGTTCAGTCCAGCTCACAGCAAAGTTACAGAGCCAACAGGATGTAACATGTAGAGGCAAGGGACTAATACAGATGTGCAGACAGGCTTTGTCAGTGCTTGTCCTTTGGTGCTGTGCTAGCAAACAAACACACTGACTCAAGAGCAAGAAAAAAAGGAAAAAAAAACAGAGGACAATAGCAATTAACAATCGTCCAAAATATACTTAGAAAGTTGTGTAAGCCACACAGTAGCTTTAGACGGCTAGTGTAATTTCCAGCTTAGTTCGCAATAAGCTGATCACAGAAAACAGTAAATTCTGCTGAATCACCAATCACAAACAGATCTGATAAGATATTGGATACAACAATGTTAGTTCAACTGCTATAGAGTCTAATGTATCCGACCCTTGATGATGAGTTCCCATTTGTACAGACATGCATTTTCTTTCGTTAGTGTTTAAATCACTTGGTCACTTATCTGGTTCTCATAAGAACATAATATAAAATATTTCTTCTCATGACTTAGATTTACTATTTTCTTATAACTGTTTGTCTTACTAGTATTTACTTTATGAAGATGCCCACAAATGCAAAAGTAATGTTGGGGAAAGTCTAGGGCTGAAACACATCTGTGCATCATATTTATTTGTGAGTGCTGACAATTTAATTTGCCAAGAAAGATCCTAAAGTTCTCTATCAAAAAGCATTTTGAGAATTGAGCCGTATAGCTATTTGGCTTCCGGATTTGGCCTGTCAGACACTGTGACAGGCAACTGGCAAATGCCAGAGGGATCTTGAAAACACTAATCACACCCTAAGCACTGAAAACAATTTTAGGAATTGCAGAACAGCAGATTTGTGGTGAGGTTTACAAATTGTGCTCACGTTCTGGGCTGGTATCATTAACTCAAAGATGATAGGGGTTTTAGAGTAACTTTGGCTCAGGCTCATAACCTAAAAATGTGCCCTACAAAACCAGGGATTGTTAGGCTTTTTCCTGGCGTGTCCTGGCTGTGTCTTAGTACTGATTGGGCGTGCTGTGGTTTGGCATTGCACATAACTGACAACACTGCACATGCAACAATACCTTAACTGTGATCTTATTAGTTTAATAGACAGTTGTGCCAACTTGAGTGTAGAGACTCTCTCAATCACTTAGAAAGTCTTGTAACTTTATAATTGAGTAAGTAAAAATGTTTTATTAGCATCCAAAGCCATTGAGTATTTTTATTTTCAGTATGGTGCCTTGAATGTTCACCAAAATACCAGAAAAACACTTCCTGTATAATCTTATGCAATCTGTTTGTCTTCCCACAGAGCTGGGTGGACAGGAGAGGGAGGGGGAGAGCTTCAACCCTGGTCTCCCCAGCCGACCCTGAGTTAACCAGCCAGCCATGGATGACCGCTCCTCACTTGGAAAAGTCAGCAGCTCTACTGAGTCCGTGGCCACCGTCACCAGTGAGGAGTTTGTTCTGGTACAGTCAAGTGCTGCCGGGTCACCGCAAGGTTCCGAGGGCAAACCAAGACTCAAGGTTAGAACCACACAGGGACAGACATTTACACCTGACTTGAATGTGTATACCCCTGTAGAACAAACATGATCCAACAATTTAAAATGGCTGATTAGATGTGTTTGTAGTTTGTATGCTCTGTTGTGTGATTACAACCCAAGAAAGCATGTTGAATGCAAATGGAAACAAGGTGATCGACAATCTTTTGCCAAAGCGCTGACTCTGTCCAGGAAGCTCAACTCTGTCTATCTTTATTTATCCTTGTCCTCACCCTGCTTTATCTCACCTTGTGTGTCCCTCATCCTCCTCCCCAATTTTCTTTTGTTTTCATCTTTCCCCCAGATGGCTATGAATGGGAGTGAGCAGCTGGAGAAAGCTATGGAGGAGGTTTTGGACGATGATGATGAGGTGAAGGTGGAGAAGAGCAACGTGGAAAAGATGGAGAAGCACAGGGACCCAGAGAGCCGAGTCCTGGAACCCCAGCCTGCAGGTACAGGTCTGTTTACAGTCAGTGTGTCCACTTGCAGGCAGTTACAATCTGCCAGTCAGCTGTTCTTTGATTCTCTAGACGTGCATCAAAACTGAAGCATCAGCTATATTGTACTTAGTGCATGAATGTTCTTAAGAGTTAGCAAAAATGTTTTTAGCAAGATGTTATTTTCAAAAGTGGCTGATTGAATTGTGATACTGCAGCTGAAAACTTCCAGAATTCTATGGTTGATTTAACTGGTTAAAAGGTATGTTCAGGGGCGTCGGTGGCTTAGTGGTAGAGCAGGCGCCCCATATACAAGGCTGTTGCCGCAGCGGCCCGGGTCCAGCCTATGGCCCTTTGCTGCATGTCATCCCCCTCTCTCTTTCCCCCCTTCACACTTGGCTGTCCTATACATTAAAGGCAAAAATGCCCAAAAACATATCTTTTAAAAAAAACAAAAAAGGTATGTTCGGTACATTTACAACCTGGACCCTATTTTCCCATGTTTTTGTATTTAAAGGTGTTTTCACACTTGGTCCTTTTCAGCCCTATAAGTGGACTCAGGGCTGTGACTCAGCATTTTTTGCGCATATGTGAACACTCCAAGAGAACTCAGATCCCTCTGAAGCGAACCGAACTCTCATTTCACTTCAAGTCCGTATGTAGCTGACAAAAACAAAAACAAAAAAACCCGTCTTGGTTCATCTTTCCACTGTTCTAACTGTCACCAACTCTGGTTTGGTTTCAATAAACCCTTAATTTATTCAGTTAGATGTGAAATTATGCTGGCACTAAACATACTAAATTTATTGTTCATTTAAATGAACTCTGGTGGATTTGGCGTTGGGAATTTCAGGGCTGTTTCTGGTTAAACAAAAAGGATCTCTGTAGGGATCTTAGTAGTCAAACACTTACAATCAAAACTGGAGCCTGTCAGTGGCAAAAACAACTTTTAGTGGACGATGTGAACCTGCCGCGAGTGGTTACATTGCAACCTGTTTTGCAGGTTGCACTTGGGCAATTGGGGCATGTGGTTACAATGTAACCACTTGGAGCATGTGGGGCTGCAGCGTTCTCAGCACTCTCACTCAACACTGAACTACTTTCAAAAATTGTTGTTCTTTTCAGTCATTTAGACATCAAAACATCAGGAATATAGGATCCAGGCAGGAAAAAACTAAACTTATTCTTAACTCAGAACTATCACTGTACATTGTCATGTTTTAGTGAGCTTGGATATATAATTTTATTATTATTGTAGGATAATGAATCACAAGGAAATACTTGATAGAGTAGCTCAGACAAAACTAAAGGCTCAGGCCATGATGGAAAAATGTTGCATGCACAAAGATATAGTGTTTTCTTTTGTATTTGTTTCTGTGCATGCTCTTGACACTTAAAGTTATTATGGGGTATGAGTTACAAAGAAGTATAAGGTAGTGTAAGTCTTTTTTGCTGAACTGAGTGAAAAATTATTGAAAATTAGCTCTGTGCTGAAAAAATGTAGCCATGTGACACACCAAAGTAAAGGTTTGATCATATCAGATTAGACAGGCTGATATCTGAACTCTTTAATGTTGGCTTGTCCTTGTGTATCAACAAGGACAGGCTGGCCAGCCTGGAAAGCTCAACAAACATTAGTGCTAAAACAACATACTAACAGTAGTCGATATACTGCGCTGTTTATCTCATTGGCAGGTGCAAAGCATTAGCACTACCAGGGTAACAACTTACAGGTTCTAGTGCCTCTGGAGCCTCTCATTATTAAAACTGCACTCATGGCGCTGTTAAATGTTATGTCATTATCAGGGATAAATGGAGTCAACTAACCAACCATATTTAATTATGTTTAGGAATTTTAGATTCTGTCCTGGTTAACTTGTTGCATTTTTAGCTTTCTCGTGTTTTGGTGTCTTGTCCATCCCTGTTCAGTCCTTGTCCTGGTTTTAAAGTCCAAAATATCCACCGTAGTACCCCCAAACATCAGATGTGCTTGTCTGGAGAGTGATTCAGAGACCAGGGATCTCATTTATACATCTGTGTAAAGAATCCACACTAGATGTTTGCGTACATATCCCAAAAAATGTTCTGATTTATAAAAGCATGTGTACACCTGCCAGTACGCAATTTCCTTCTATAAATCCCATATCAACTTGGAATTGTCCATACATGGACCAGCCTCATAGCTACACACCCACATTCAACCATAAATGGTCAATGCAAAGCACCTCAGTAATGCTGATGCATACACATGAGCCGGCTAATCAGTGGTTCTTCACATTAAATCATGGCAACGACTAAAAGGAAAACCAAGAAACTGAGAAATTAAGGTGCTTTTTGGTGAGCTGGAGGCTAGAAAAGCACATAGCCTTTTGTTTGGTGGGCAGTGGGGTCACAAACTAAAGGAAAGGCAGTGATTGGCAAGTCTTTGCTAATTTACACAATCCATATGTGCAGATGGTGAAGATGTGCCGCATGAGAAGCGGATTACCGCAGTGTCTCCAGTGCACTCTGTGTGCCTGACAGCTCACTTGTGTTCCCTGCAGCCATTTTAAACATAAAAACCATCTGAAAACTTAAATGGTACTTGGTGATATATGCACTGTATTAGAAGAGATTATTGAAAACTGTTGATAAAGTGTACTGCAATTATTTAGTGGTGTATGATGTTATCTTAGATTTCTACAGCTGATAACTTTAATGTCATCAGTTAGCCTGGTTAACGTGGTTGCGGTGAAATTGACTCAGTATATTCATGCTTATTATCGGGTAAAGGAAAGCCAAACTTGAAAAAATGTGCGTACACATGGGTCAGAGTTTCTCTAAATTTATGCACATTCCCTCATCAAGTTTTTCTTTATAAATCCCAATTTATGCTTAGAAAGAAGTCAAGACACACCCTTTTTTGTGTGTATGCCGTGGGTCCAAATGAGGCTCCAGAAGCTTCAGCTCTTCAAACGCTACACAAAGATACCTGTCATGCCCCAAATCTGAGAAGATAAAGTTGATTGATATGCGCTTCTGTATGTGTTTTTGGGTGAAGTCTTGTGGTGGCGTGAAGCTCCTCACTTTCAGGTGAAATGAAACAGCAAGTGATATCATGTGTTACAGAGGAAGGAAGCACATGGCTGTCTCTCTGTTTTTAGACCTACAGTGTGTTTAGCGATTGTTGTTTGAGATGAAGTTTGTAGCAGAGCGAACTGCAAAAAATCAAGGTGTGTAAAGGTTTTTTCAAAGTGCTGTGTCATTATTTTGAAACATATTATATATAGGTTAAAACAGGAATGGCTGTTTCTGTAACTGGCATTTTTAGATTGTAGACAAATGGTTTTACAGTAGGACACACATCTTTATTTTTTTACCTGCAGTTATTTAATTCCTCATGTCGTCAGTGGTACCAGTGTTTTTGTTCTTTACAACCGCCGAGTAAACTAAGAGGAAATGGTTAGTGGGGTGTATGGTAAGAGCCAGTCAGCAGTGGAAGTCCAGCTGCTGCTCTCATTGTTCTGCTTCCTGTTTGCAAAGTGTGAAAGTATCAGGTCAAAGTTCACTTCAGAGAAGACCCCCTAACTTCCTGTGCAGGTCTCTTTTCACCTTCTGCTGATTTTTATTTCTTCCTTTGTTATTGTTTTAGTCTGTCTCTCCCTCCTCTGAAATGCACCAGTCTGTTGCAGATCTGTTAGACCACAGGTTGTGAAATTTTATTCTCATGAAGCTTTGTTAATATCATCTTGGTTAAGATGTTATGACATAGTAGAGAAGCAGACATCCGTTTACCCCAAGGACATGTTTCAGCTTTTCAAAAAAAAGAAAACAAACCGAAACAATATTCTAACCTCTCTGTTTGTCCACAGAAGCATGTCCAGCACCACCAAGCCCCACAGTGCTGGAAGAGGACAGTGTCCAGTTCAACAAGCTGTCCTACCTCGGCTGCACCTGGGTCAAAGCCCCGCGCAACGAGGCAGAGGCACAGAGGGCCATGGCCACCCTGCGTGCCGAAAGTGCCATCCCCATTCCTATAACCCTGCATGTGCCCTGTGGATCAGACGGCTCTGTCAGGTCAGCCATACATTGAGACAGGGACTGTGTATATTGAGACCTGGATCTGTTTGAAATGGGCTATGGGAAAAGAGAAGTTAAAATTGGTAGTTTAACACTTGACAAATTGACAGTAAAGACACTAAAATATAGTCCAGTATAGCAGTAATCAGTACGACCATCACATACAGTAAACCAGTCATAACTGTCTTGGTGAACTTGTCTATAAAACCTCTGAGGCTGACCACGACATGACTACATGTTTGTTAAAGCAGAACTTTGCTACAGCACACACCACAGGTTCCTGTATGCAGTATGCAACCTATAAGTACAAACGAGCAGATTAAAATGAATTAGATGGCACTTACATGTGCCCTTCACTTCTGAAGCCTGTTATGCAGCAGAAGAAGTAAAGTTATAGATGAAGTGGACATTACATGAGTGGAGACAAACTTCTCTGCAATCCTGAGTCATGAAATGAAAAGGGAACATGATGTGTATATATACACTAAAAAGGAAATGAGACATGGCTTTGTTTTTTTGTTTTTTTTTTTGACCACACTGAAAATGTTGATATCTCTGCTCTGCTCGATAACGGTGACATGGATGCCTTATCTCTTGATTGAATGGAAGCTTGGTTGAATGTAAAATCTAATGCGACATACTATCTTGAGGTGGGCTATTACTGTACAGAACTGACGCTGTGCCTAAAATAATATGAAGTATCGGAAGCCAATGTTTTATGATATGAGACAACATTGTTAAAGTTTTAAAATTTCATATTTTTGATCTGCTGACACACTGATTATAAGTCTGGACCAGAGCATCGTTTTCACATGTAAAATGAAATGACTCTCCCCAGGATTGTTGACCAGGCCTCGGGTACAGAGATCGCCTCATTTCCCATCTACAAGGTCTTGTTCTGTGCACGTGGACAGGAGGGTTCGATAGAAAGTGACTGCTTCTCTTTCACTGAGAGTTACCGGAGCTCTGAGGACTTCCAGATTCACGTCTTCTCCTGCCACATCAAAGAGGCCGTGAGTTACATACATATATTGCACATTACAATTATAATGTTCCCCATTACAATGACTAGCAGTGGCTCAGCATGGTTTTCACTCCTCTGTGGAACATGGTCCCTTAACATTTAGGTACAAGTTGGCTTTAAAGGAAAGTCATGACTGCATTGATTTTTGTCATCGTGTTTAATCCAGATCTCCACTAGATGACTGGATGATCAGTGATGGTCATTCTACCACCACAACAAACTCTGTTTTCAAATTTAACACTTAAAAGTTTCTTTAATAGATATCAGTAACTTTTCCAACTATGCATCAGTTACTTTAGTCACTTAAACAAGATTATGAGTGGTGTGTTACCTGCATACCAATAATTAATTCAATAAAAAACAGTATTTAATCAAAGAACGTAAGGCCAAATTGCCTCAGAAGTTACCATATAACCTGCTACTGACAAGGATTTAGAGGTTATTTTTTAAAGAGTGTCTGGTAGGGCTTACTCCACATAAAACGCTCAGGGGTTACATTACATCACTCCCAGCAAACTTCCAGGAGAACCATTACAGCAAAACATGTTGCATGTTGTTCACCACTGAGCATCTTTGTAACTGGTACTGATGGCGTAATAATGATGATAATACTACAACTACAACCACTACTACTACTACTACTACTACTACTACTACTACCACTACCACTAATAATAATAATAATAATAATAATAATAATGATAATGATGATAATAATAATAATAATAATAATAATAACAAATTTAGTTTTTAGTACAAGATCATCCACAAAAATAATAAATACAGTACTCCTTCATAATCAGTGTGTACTTGTCTGTTGTAAATTTATTCTCAAGTGGCAGAATTGTGAAGCTGACTACAGGCTGCAGACTCTAATACACACATACCCACTTCTGTTGTAACTTTAAGAACAGACATCTCAGTAAAAATGGCAGGGTTGTGCTACAGTCCTAGAAGAACTAATAATGGTTAACCAGCAGAGGGCGCTGTTGTCTTTTTTATTTTCTTAATAATATCTGATTCTACTCTTGTTGTGTCTATCTATTCTATACTATATCTTACTACAATTATATGTTCTGTTATTTTCTGTTCGCTTATATTAATTCTTTTTACTCATTTCCTTTTGCAGCATATTAAGTCATCTTTTTTTAACTTGATCTTAAATTAGTGTATTTCACTTAGATTTTATTCTTTTTTTAAACTAAATATTTCATCCGTAATCTTTTCCACCTCCTTGTCATTCTGTCAGTAAACCTTCTATTTTCATTTTCTTTTTTCCAGGTCAGTCGTATCCTGTACAGTTTCTCCACAGCCTTTCGGCGCTCTTCGCGGCCAACAGACATCAGGGACATGGCGCTGTCCAGTCCGCCTGACGGCGACCTCTACACCTTCACTGTGTCACTGGAGATCAAAGAGGATGATGGCAAGGGCAACTACAGGTACTTGTGCTCACACACACACACACACACACACACACAGTCACACTACAGTTAAATGATATAGGTGTCTCTGTGTAATGGGTGTATAACTTTACAAGAAGTATGATACCTTTATATCTTTTACATTGTAGGTGAATATTGTGTGAGAAATAAACACACTTTTATAGAAGAACGATGATGCAACATTTTAGCATTATTCCTCTCGATCAGCTGTCTTGGAGAGGTGGTGAGGATATTATAGCTAATAATAAAGATAAACATTAAGATGTTTACCTATGTTCTTTCACTAAATGTCTAAGCTATGCATAATGTTGATGACACCTCAAGTTTTTATAAATGTAGCTATTTCAATGTTCACATGTGGGGCTTTAATTTTGGAATTCTCTAAATTGATACAATAAAAATTACTGTTACTAATTACTAATACTGATTTTTCTTTCCAGTGACTCAAAGTCAAATTTAGTTAGATTTCATCTTTCCAATTTATAAAACACACAGTTTTAGACTTCCTGTGAATCTAATTAAACTTACTTTCATAAATCTATTTTGTGTATATTATTTATTATTATTATTATTATTTTGAAAAGAGGACATAGTCACGTGTCCCAGACCGGTTCAATTAAGTAACTGGGCATTTACCATAAAGGCCAGAATATGGGTGCACTCCAACTTTAGCGGTAGCTGGTTTGAGCACGGCGATGCGAGGGACGGCTGTCTTGTTCTCCACCCGCTCCTGTGTTTCTCCCCGCTAGGTCGATGGACCTGCACTTGTATAGCGCCTTTTTAGTCATCTACGTATCCTGTACAGTTAGACGCTATGAGTCACAGTCACCCATTCACACACACATTCATACGCTGGTGGCTGAGGCTACCATACAAGGTACCACCTGCTACTCAGTTTTGTTTTAACGCACTCACACACTGATGGAGCAGCCATCTGGAGCAATTTGAGGTTCAGTAACTTACTTGACTTGCAGACTGGAGGAGCTGGGGATCGAACCACCGATCTTCAGATTAGTGGACGACCCACTCTATCTTCTAACCCACAGCTGCTGTGGTGTTTGTCTCTTTCAAAGAATTTTAAGTGCGTCTTGCCGCAACTTTGCATGTTACAACTGGAGCAAATAATGTGCAGTCTTTCACGTGGAAATAAAGCCTCAACATTAAACCCAAGACTGAAGTATAAAGGATCATGGGGCATTATTTCAGCCTTACATATCAAGGTTATTTCTTAATATCTATATGTGAATTTATTATCAAAAAACTAATGAATAAAATTTCTCAGTGGTAAGGTGGGACAAGATGCCCCCCTCCAATAAAAGTAAGGGAAACACTCTTATTGTATGATCATGTGATGCCATGATACATTTTTTGCGGAAAGCTCTGTGATAAATGTGAATTACACACATACATAAACACATTTGGTGTTTCTTGTTATCAGCTGAGGGCCGAGCGTTTGTATCACAGATACGTTGATAGTTGGAAAGCTTTAAAGTGCTGCCGCAATACTCTTTTATCTGACTGTTATTGTTCACCCGTAAAGAACATGAAGCTTATCGGCACAGTAAGACAATTTTTCCATTTTCACAAGCCATCATATATCGAGTATCTTAGTGATGGATTTTCATTTTCTGTTCTCCTCTGAAATAAAATGTCCCAATAGCTGTTCTGAAAGCACAGTAGGCGCTCGTAAAATATAATACACTCAGAAGACTCCAGGAAAAGATATGTCATATTTTATCTTAAAGTGGGCGAGTCATATTAAGGTTAAGAAGATCCAGCAAAGAAATGGGCATTAGGCAGTACAATAACATAAAACAAGATAAATTCAAAAGACATCTAAATCTACGCTGAGGAACACCACAGTACAACACTACAAAAAAATCTAAAGTGAATCATATTTAAGTCCCCGAGGTTATGTCTAACAACCGCCTGTTCTCCCCCTCCACAGTCCAGTGCCTAAGGACAGAGATAAATTCTACTTCAAGCTGCGACAGGGCGTTCAGAAGAAGGTCGTGGTTTCAGTTCAGCAGCTGTGCAACAAGGAGCTGGGCATCGAGAGGTGAGGATCACTGTAAAAAGAAATGATGCATGACGAGGTCGTGGTAACCTTCCGCTGGGGGGTCTTTGTTAGGGATGAGGTCTGTGTCACAGGTGTAGCGCTGCAGTTATTCCTCACCTATTTTTATTTCTCAGGAGGGATTACATCTTATCTACTGTATAGGTTCACTCCAGTTAATCTTGGAATTGGCTTTCCAAACGTTAGGCCATTAACCATTTCCTTGCACTAAAACTTTGCTTTTGTTTTTTTAATATGATTGTCTTAACTTGCTATATTCAGCCTTTACAAATATCTTGATGCTGTTACCATCAAAGTTTGTAAGGTGAATATCTCAAAAAAAGTAAAAAGAGTCAAACCACCCAAACAGAATAATAAAAACCAACACCCAAACAGAGGAATACAGATGTTCTTAAATCACTTTCGACTTCCTGCAATCGCTCTCATTTTTATGTGTTTACATGCTCTAGCAGCACGGCAGCACCAAAGAACTAGGTCATCTTTATCACTCCCCTCCTTTCTTCTTCAATCCCTCACCTCCTGTCGCTATCAGAGGGAGACAGACACCTGCCCTCCGCTTTATTTTTAGTGTCTATGGAAACCCCTATTGTGTTTAGCAATGATCCCTTCAAAGGGGGTGCTCAGCCCATGTTTGAGGACACTTTAACTTTATTTTATTAATATTAATTTTTGTAATAGCCATGGTCTCAATGGATAATTCTTTGGAAATGTTTCAAGGTTTTGCATCATGTGTTGTGTTGATGCAGTAGTGAGCAGCTTCTAAAAGCCTTTTACCTGTAAGTCTTTACAAATCCTGTTGAAATATCACTTTGGAAGACACGTGACACTCATCTTTCAACCTCAGTACGAGCCCTGTCAGGTTAGTGCTGGTAACTGTGAATGTGTTCTTATGCAATGCATTTCTGAAACCAAGAGATTCCAAAGCAGACCACATGATGGCACCTCCGACCTCAAGCTGAAGGGGCTTCACTATAACAGATGATGTTGGATTGGTGTGAAGAAGTGGAAACAACATAAACTATGCTGCTTCAGTAGAGTGCAAGACCTTCGATATGTGTATTAAAATATTGTTTATTGTTTTTTTGTTTTTTGTTTTTTTTTTCAACTTCCTGTGTATGTGCTGCACGTTTCTGTGTGAGGGGCATGGCCAGCAGTGGCAGGGAGAGCTGGGTCTGTTATTGTCTTAAAGGGGCTTTGACATGCTCGGCTAGATTCTTTTGGGCCCCACAGGTCATCAAGATAATTTTCATTTTTGGCCAAGATTATATACTTATGACTTTTTCTAAATTGACCAGTGCACAATACTGGAATACTTTTAGGTCCTTTCAGAGTGTCAGCTTAATGCCCAGTGGATTAAAATGCATTCTCATTACAATATTATGAGTTCAATTTGGTCAGTCGTCCTTATTCCAGTCTCTGAAGTGGACTTTGTGATTACTGATATGGGGTCATACCTCCTTTGTCTTTCCTCCAGGTGTTTTGGGATGCTGCTGAGTCCAGGACAGAAAGTCTGCAACAGTGATATGCATCTACTAGACATGGTGAGCAGGACACACTTTAGTTAATTTAGCCAGACTTTTTATGTTTTTTTCAGTTCAGACCTGCAGGTTAATAATCTATTTACCCACTTTTCTTTGGCCCAGTATGTATTTATGAAACTGTTCAAAATGTTACACCAACCTGTATTTATGTTTTACGTTAATAATTTTACAAAAACCTTTTAATGTTGCTATTTGTACAACAATATATTTTTTACAAGCCCATAATCCATGCTTTGATACCTACACAGGAGTCGATGGGAAAGAGCTCCGATGGGAAGGCCTATGTAATCACAGGAACATGGAACCCCAACATGCCCGCCTTCCAGCCACTGAATGAAGACACGCCTAAAGGTGAGACGAGTTACTGTCCCCTAGATATTGTCACACAGATTATATGTTTGTCCACATTCAGAGAAGCTGTGAAACATGAAAGGTTTGTAATTGTAAAAAGAAATTTGGAGAAAGAGGGATAGTTTATAGTTTAGGTCATAATTGTTTTCTGAATATTAAAGAACCTGAATTGAACAGAACATAAAATTAAATATTCATGAATTAGGTACACAAAAATATATTTAAAACATGTAAGTATTAAAGTTAAAATAGATTTGAAATGTGTGTTCATAAACGGCAGTGTGCTCAGATATAAGCACAATGGAGTCAAACAAGTAGATAATCGTGTACCTGGAGAAGGACCAATTTTATGTATTAGTTGTTTAATTATATATTTTTTACATTATTTTACATACTGAACAGAAAAAAAGAGTGTCCAAAAAGTGACCAATAAATAAATAAATGAATAAATATTAAAAAAAATAGCGGGCATCATACCCATCCCCAACTCTCACCAGCCCTTGCAACTTAGAGACAGCATGAAATAAATAAAAGGGCGTTATAGGCAAATACCAGGAAACTTACAGAGACTGGGTAAGCCCATTCAGGAAACCCTGTAATATGAAAGATAAAAGAGTAGGCTGTGTTTTAAGTAAGGCTCCCAGACTTTACAAAAAGCATCCACTGAAGAATGAAGCATGCAGATGATATATTCATTAAGAACATGCTGTATTAAAAGAGTAATATATTCTTCCTGGCAGCAAAAGTCAAAAGCTTGAAGAGCCTCTTGTGTTTGATATTTTTAATTTCACCATCAGGGTGACTAATTAGGGGGCACATATGATCTAATTCTATTTGAACACCAAATACAAAACACAGTTCATCCACAATAATAGACCAATAGCTTTGTAGCTTCACACATACCCAGAAAGAGGGAATGTAGCTGCCAGTCTCCGAGTTACAGCAGAGCGGAGATGCATCAGCCTCCATCGAAGTAGAATTTGGTTTGATTACGGATGGATATGATTTTATTGTTTTTGAAAAGGTAGTATTTTTATGTGATCAGACTGGATCCCACAGGCTTTATCCAGGCAGAGAAGCTTGCCTTACAAAATTACAGCTAACAAATTAGACCACTTGGCAACTTGCTGACTTGGAGGCTGAGAGCTTGACTTAAAGGAAAATGGCAGGTCTGTCAAAGCAGTCTACCTCATGGGAGTGGGGCAGTATAAATCCCCAACCTCAACACACATACACACGCACACACACGCACACACAGCTCTCCTCACTGACAGACAAGTCAGAGACATTTAAGAGAAGGCGATAAATGTTACACATGCTTTGTAATCCCTATCATGATACACACTTTTAGTTTAATTGTTTACAAAAGAGAATTATTTTAATTTGGAGCTCGTGGTAATTTTTGAAATGGAGGTTTAAAAACTGATAAATAATAAATATCTGATAACAGCGGCAGCAAAAACGGTGTGATTGTTTCCTGCATTCTAGTGACTTTTGAAGAATGAAAATAACGAAATACTCTGCAGCAGCAATTATGTTAAATACTTTTAATTTGGTTTAGATTTTCGTATGACCCTCGTACTCTGGAAGAGTATAATGAGTGGAAGGGAGGCCAGGCTGTAGGCTTGGTTTACACCAGGGATCCACAGCTGGCTGTGTTCCCTGGCCCACACACCTCTGGGTACTTGATGCCTAAGCAAGGTGAGATGGGATGTTCATGGTTTGTGGAAGACAGCTGGGTACCCCGCTGTGGAGAAGGAGGGCAAGCCAGCCCCCCCCCCCCAACCCCTGAGGTACTCCCCAATCCCCTGCTAGAGCGTCCCATCGGACTTACGAGGAACATGGTCAGCATGGAGATGAGGTGTCCACCTGCAGCAGCACATGCAGGCCTGACGGGCGCCCATCTCTGGGAGACAGGGGAAATCTTTTAGGGTTGCAATGCTTGGCTTAAACACACTATACAGTGCCAGAGACAGACTGTACAAACTAAAAGATAAAGGGTGTGAAAATTTGTCATGAATCTGGAGAAATATGGCTGAATTGTAACCTTGGGAGGAAGATGAGAGAGAGAAATGAAACACGGAAGTCCCCTGGGAAAATCAGGAAGGATGGCAGGTGCCGTCTACTATAGCCAAACCTTGTTTTACTGACTGTCAGGAAATAGTGATTGCTTTCAGTTATTTTATAGCTTAAATAACTGTCTTAATATCAGCATCAACACTCACAGTATCTGAAGCTTTGAACAATTCTTTTCCCCCAAAAAAATATGTCTTAAAACCTGGAGTATGTTTCTGACATAATCATAATTGCAATCTGTCTTAAGGTGCTGGTGGTTAATTTTTGTTCTTCCACAACTTGATTTAAAAAAAAAACTCCCCATGGTGAAATAACTTCTCAGCCCCTCTATCTCCTTTCCATTTGTTTATTCCTCCTTAATAATTAGACTGTCCCTTAAACAGAAGCATGAAGTGATAAGTTAGTGTGTAGTGTAGGCTCACATCTTTCTGTGTTTGAAAACCTTGTATAAACCAAAATCTCTGCACTATTAAAAAACAAGTTACAGAGCTCATCAAGCAGGATGAACTTTTCACCTAACAAATAAATTAGTAGACTGCAGCTGTGAAGGTGGAAACATCGGTGTTATGTCCTTATCCACTAGGGGGTATGGCATCCCCACAGGATACATATTGAGGATATGCTGCTTCCCAGTAGAAGCCAGTCAGATGGAAAGCAAAATCTTTTAAACCTACAGTTACATTTATGGATTTCTTCAGTCATTGTGAAGTTTGTTTTACTGGTTCTGACTTTTTTTAAAGAAAAAAATATTGGCACCACAACTGAAGGTTGGATTGCCGCCAGAGGTTGGTGCAGACATGCCAGTGTGTAGCAGCTTTTGGACAGTTCATAATCTGGTAACACTTTGAAAGCTGCGTGCACCTAGAGCTGTTTATCATGTGTACGTAACACTGTGGTTCAACCTTTTAAACAGTACTGACATCAGGGAAATGGACTTCAGTGACTGAAATCAAGTATAAATAAAAGGAGAGTCCTTTTTTCATTCCTGTTTTGCTTTCTCTCTGTTTGCTCCAGATAAGCAGGTCTACATCACAGTGGCAGTGGACCTGGTGGTCACCGAGGTGTTGGAGCCAGTTCGCTTCCTGCTGGAAACTCTGGTCAGGGTATATCCATCAAATGAACGCTTCTGGTACTTCAGCCGCAAGACCTTCAGTGAGACCTTCTACCTCAAACTCAGACAGGTATCTGTGCAGCAACTATTACAGCCTTCACAGAACCCATTTTCATAACCTTACATACACCACTGTATTTGTTGTTTAGTGGAAACAGATAACATTTCAGGTCAGCAGCTGTCAGCAGCAGTTGTAGCGTGGCTAAGAGCGTTAGCTTCACCCTCTGCTCTTTCGCCGGTGGTTTCTGATGTGGACAATATGTCAGAGTCTCTTGCTTGAAGAGTTACAAAATGATCTATTGAGCTAAATAGGCAGTATGTTTCAATAGTGTGTAACTGTTAGCTAACTAGTTTACCTCACTGTTATGGATAAGTGCAACATAGTGATTTAGCATTAGCTAACTGACATGATTGCACAAGTATTTGTGGGTGACAAATAGCCTATCATTAATGTTGCATATAGTAAATTAGAGTGTTCTAATGATTAGGCCAATTGATCTTTGCTGTTAATATTTTGGTTTCATGTTAATGTGTATTTTCAGAATATTGGGGGGGGGGGGGGGCAACAACAAAAACATATTAATTGGCAGCCCTTATGCAGTAACTCTGAGGAGCCCCTAAGAGTTGTAGACCCCCAGTTGGAGACCCAGGTCTTAGATGGTTCGTAGGTATATTTGAATTTGTTAGGATCTAGTTTGTTGGCTCATTTATAGCTTGTCTGTAGATGGTGCTTCATTGATTGATTGTGGGGTAGGGCAATACTATGCATTTGGATTTTGTGAGATTTTGCCATCCTGTTTTATAATATATCTGGGTGTAGTAAGACAGTTGCAAAACACTGAGCAGTGCTGCTTAATGGCCACATTGGATTTCTTTGTATGATTTTTGTATCTCTGATGAAGATTTTTTTAAGTATAAAAGACATCCCTCTTTTTTATTTATACAGTAACAGTCTCTCAATTGAGAGAAACTCAGAGAACTGCCTATAGAGAAGAGAACTTTCTATATCACAATATATATTGATATCACCATGGGAATATTATGTCGCCCTCTCGAATTGCTTTTTTTTTTTAATCCATGATCAAGTAAGTGGTTAAGTCTTCGCCCAAAAGTTTAGCATTTAATCTAATTTGTTGACATAGCTTGACTAATACCTGAAATTACATGTGGTTCATTTATGTATATTATATTTAAACACCTGATATTATTTGTCAATGTACACAGTAGAATTATATCATGCTTTACCCACAGTGTTCCCTCCCACTGTCCCGCAAACAAACAAAATTTAATGACACAAATACATGAACTCAGGGAGTCTCAGGAGGGACCTCTGGCACAGAACAGTTTCAGCCATATTGCTTTCACATGGTTATTTAAGTAAAGTCAAGTTTATTGATAGAGTCTAACATCACATATGTCTCAGAGGGCTTCACAGTGGCATCACTACCCAACTCAACCCCAGTCGCAGAGACAAGGGAAAAGTAGAGCGGGTAGATGGGCAGCTTGGAAGAGCTGTGGAGTGGAGGAGGAGGTCAGAGCGGGCATTTGGAGGCGTGGTGGTATGTCTGTGACCAGTGAAATGCTGTGCCCAAGAGAGCTGAAACACTTGGGTCGTCGTAAGAGCTACAGATATGTGCCAAAAAATGCAAATCTCTCACCAGCTGACTTCCATTCCTCTCTTTCCATCTGTGCATCTCCCACTTTTGCATCCTCGTTTTGTCTGCCTGTCTCTCATTGTCAAGCTGGCACATTGATGCTCAACATGTTCTTCCCTCCCCCTCCTCCATCACAATTTCGGTGGCAGATCTCTTTGTACTTAAAGTATGGGATGTAAGGATGTGTACTGTTTGGATGTGTATGCTCAAATCCTCATCTTTGCACAAGTCAGCAACTCAGATGTTAAAAAATCAGTAGCAACTGTTCTTAACCCCAACTTGGTTGTCATAGTTATCCTGTGAGCTGATGTCTGGCATCTGAATAGTAGTCACCACAATCCACTGATGTGATTGGTTTTGTTGAAAGCAGCAAATAAACTGTGTCCTTCTTGTATCTTACTGTTGATATGTATGACACTCTAAAATGTTTGAGTATCCACACAACTTGTCTGATTAAAAAGTGCTGAGAGAGAGTGAAGAACGCGCATTCACTTACCTCCCACCAACACAAGGACACCCAGCCCGAGCAGTTTGCTGCAGGTGCTTAAAAAATACAGTTAAGCTGTAAGCTTCCTCTTTCCTGTTAAAACGCAGATCTCCTTTAGTAGGCCGTGGGGAGTTGGCAAAGCAGTGGAGTGTGGGGAAGCTTTGGATTGTAGGGAGCTAATAAGAGGCTCTGTCTCATTATTGGCATGTGGGTAATTAACAGCGGCGGTCTGACTCGTCCGCCTGATTGCCTCTCTAGTTATCTCCTCAGTAAATGGAAGTGGTGCTGTGGTTAAGAGCTAATTAAAAGATAATATTGTATGGAGGTTTTTGTGGAAGATGGTAATCAGAGGTGATACATGCACATATAAAATATGTAGTCCTGTTGTCTTATTTTGCCAAAAACTTTCATTAGCCAGCTGAAGTACCAGGAAGTCATTATCTGTGCTGACTTCTCAGAATGTTTTTTGCGTCTGCTTCACTAGGAAATGTATTCGGTGTCTGCTTTACTGGGAAACAAACCTACCAGGGCTGTAGGCTAGATCATCTGTGTCAAGCCCAAGTTGATTTCAAGATTGAGCCCTGTCAAGTCCAGACCAGATTTAAGCAGGGTTGAGACTAAATGAAGACTGGGACTGAAGAAAATGTTGTGTCCATGCAATATAATAAAGATTTGGAACTTTCGAATACATCAGCAGATATCTAAGCATAAAATATCTGCAGGAGGTGGACATGTCAGCCCCTTACACACGTTTCAGCAAGTGATTTTTTTCTGATGCTGGAAAATAGAATTAAAAAAATCAATAAATTGTCAATTAACAGCTTTCAAGATGAGCTACTGAAAGTTTGAGCTAGTATTAGAAGTTGATGGTAGCAACTACAGAGTGTTACAAGTGGTTTTCAAGGGCCCTTGTAAAACATGAGCAGTTGAAAGTTTCTTTGAAAGAGAAATTGGTTTTGCTACAAAGGCATTAATTGTTAAGGCAGTTTTGTTATTTTGAGGTAAAATGGCATTCATCTCACAGAATAACATAAAGCAAAGAGAACTGTTTTTTTTCTTTATGTAAAAACAAAAAAGCATTTTCATTTTCTTCTCCAAATAAAAAACAAAAACAACGATATAAAAATATTGCTATCATTATCAGCCTACAACTCAAAATCGGTGCATCTCTAGATTTTTCCATTGAATTTTCAATTATTGCAGAAAATAAGCTTCGTGTAAACAAAGGTTTGTGATACCTACATGTTTTGTTCAGCAAGATAACCCTCATACGTGAACGCCACTTCTATGATCTTTGAAGCGTAAATGTAGTCGATAGAAGTAAAAAGCAAATGTTAGGCTATAAGCAAACCACACTATGGTCACATGACTTAAAGTCACCACTACAGCAAGGCTGTAAAGGTTTTTTAGCCACTTGTTAGCAACTACCTTCTCTAAAACACTTTAAAGCTTCAAAATTCACTGATGTATTTTATGTCAGAGAGTAAAATGTGAACGTCTCTTAAGCTTGTGTTAATTACAGACCTTATTTCAGGCATCTAACCAACAACCCATTAAAAAAACACAATAGACTTCAAGACGAGGGAAGTGGGAGTGCTAAAATGCCAACTCATTTCCGGGTTTTAGGACTCATTCCTGCACCACTCTATTATAAATCCACAATTGATGATGCTGTGTTTGTACAGTGGGCCGTCTTTGGCCACAGTTTTATCAGTGTTGTTAATAATTCATCCTGTAGGGTTAACAATTCACCATAAGCCATAGCAAAGCCAACGTGTTACCTAAGCCTCCTTAGATTTTCTCTAAAAATAGGCCAGGCTTGATATTCTCTCCCAATTTCTGCTCTCATCACTGACTTGAGTTAGTCATTAGACGCCATGCGAGTGGGCAGATCAATGCAGCTCATTGATCCACTCTACCAGGTGGAGGAGAGAGAGACAACAGCGCTACAGTAATTGAATAGACCAGAAATAAACATCAGTAGCTTATGACACCCAAGGTCAAGTCTGCTGGTGTCTTTGTTCTCTTGTGCGTTTCTTCAGTCTATTGTTATGGATTTAATGAGTAAAAGCTGTATTAAGCAATTTTTACACCCTAAACTGACTTGTTGCAGTGATCATTGTTACACGTCAGCAGTTTTCAAGTTCATATTGCTGATGTGTTGGCTAACACTTTCAGATCGGTGCCAGCTCAGGTGAAACAGAGTAGTAGTCCCGCTGTAGATCTCTCTACCTGTCAAATGCAAGTCAAGTACATATTTACTACGGCCCTACTTGAGCATCTATGGCACATGGTCTAAAATGCATTTAGGGGTTGTCCAACTCTATTTTGCTTGTTAAACGGCATGTAATCTGGGCGCAAAGGAAAGTGCAAGGGGCAACAAAGTTGTATTTAGGCCTTTAAAGGTCTAGTTAGTTTTCCTCATCTAGCACTGAGGATTGCAGATTGCAATCAGCCGAAACTTCTTCTGGTTAGAATTCCTTCAGTGTGAGCCTTGAGCTGAATTATCTGCAGGGGTTCTTTATCTCTCTAAAAGAAAGGGATCAGGTGATTTAAAGTGATGAAAACACTGAATAAAGCAGTTTCACGTAAATAAAAACTCTTCTGACACTCGCCAGAGAGTTTCTGAGTACGATGGCCAACGCAAAGATGTCAACTGCCCTATCTAGAGCCAGTGTTTGGTTTGTCTGTTCTGGGCTACAGTACAAAAAAAGGCAATGCAACATGATGATTTCCACGGACAAGGACCTGCTACCTGTGTAGTTATAAACGTCTCATTTTAGGGTAACGAAAACACAATGACTCATATTTTCAGGTGATTATACACTAAAGAAAACATACTTATATGTCTGCCAATATATCCCCCTAAATCCGACACCCTGGACCTTTAATTAATAAAGGTGTGTTTTGCATACATGAAAAAATAAACATAAAAACATCAAATCAACCAGTCCAAGTGTCATTTCACAGTCTGGCACCTGGCGCACTGCTATTTAAATGGCGGATTCTGCAAATAGAATAGAGAATGGAGTGATATTTTGTAGAGAGTAATGCAGTAAGAGCAGTAATTCCACAACAACAAATATCATGGGACATTTGAGCAGCAAAACTAAAAACTGTAGTTGTAAACTTGACAGAGGAAACAAAATTAAGATTTTAGCTTCTGAAATAATCAATGAAATTATGCTGCTTCTCGTGCGTAAATGCACACAGCGTCTCTTATAATGGGGGGTTTGTTAGGAAGCAGCAGTTGACAGCAGCTCTGCTGTGCTCTCTGCTATGTTCACATTTAAAAGAATGATATTTTCCTTATTAATGAGTTATTATTTCACCCTCCGGCTACCTATCCACCCATCCCTGTGTGTTCAACAAGCAAGCGTGTAGTGAGCCTTTGTAAACACATCTTACTATCTGAATAACTGAAGATGGTATATCTGAAAATGCTTTACCATTCTGACTTTAGATCAGGTTTTTGTCGGTCAATGGTGCACCTCATTTAATACCTACAGGCCATGGGTGCAAGTACATGTGCAGCTTACACAACGTGGGTGCTGGCTGTGAAAATGACAACAGTGTTCGTCTAAAACTAGTATTGACAGTTGTGCTTTGCATTGGTTTGTGCGAGGTGTAAGATATGGCCCCTAGAGTTTTATCCCCAACTCCTCCCATCTCGACACAGAACTTCATACATAATGCAAAATGCATTTCATAACTGAAAAGGAGCTGGGATAAAATCTTAGATGAAAGAAATATAAACAGGAAGTTTGCCAAGTCTTTCAACAACCATACGCCACCAAAAATCAGCCTGTTGTGAAAACTCACCCACTTACAATCAATGACATTTGGCTGAAAGATTTCCATGGAATTTGTGAGTTAATTCTGTACCGTTTTTCTATATTTTACATTTTCCTGCCCGTCATCATTTTACACTGGGCAGGTAGTGCACATTCAGCATGTGGGAGCTTGTTAGCTATCGGTGTCTGTCCGTGGTTTTATGTGGCTTCCTTTGTTCACCCCTGTGACTTCCACTAGGTCGGCTTAATTGAGGGGCTGGCCTGCCGACTCCTGGCATCCCATCTAAGTTGAGGCACAGGCTCTCTGCTGCTGAAGGTGGTGCTAAGCCCCCGGTTCCTCATGCCTGGCACTTCTCCCTTTATTGGTGTCACCTGACAGGACAGTGAGCTCTGGCCTGTCCACCTGCTGGATCGATTCAGAGAGCTGGTCAATGTCAGGTCTAAGGCTGGTCATGCTGATTGCCTTGTTGAGATTGACCCTCACTGTCAATCTGATACTGAGTCAAGAATACCTGCAGGTTTTCTCTGTGGGGAAAAGAGAGTGGATGGTACATTGGTTGGAGGAACTCTGGTGCTTCTTCGGCTGCCGTGATATAATCCACGTCCTCAACTCTGCATATGAACACTTTAACACTGGATGATCCTCCTCATAGCTTTCCTGTGCTTGAAGGGATCAGTCATCTGCATATGTAAAAGTGTTTAATGCTCATCATTGTGCATAAACCGAGCCTCTCGAGCCCCTGTAGCATTTGATTGTCTCCTGGTGCTGATGTACCCTAGTTGAGTCAATGTGTCTGTGAATTACTGTAACTTGTTGGCTGCTCACATGCAGTAGATGATTTAAGAGAATGACTTTGCAGAAAATAAGCATCTCTGTGTTAACTAGCAATATCTAAGTTAGCTCAGTGACGTCTTTTTTCTTTAAAATTGATAATTTTCTAATTTTCAAAACTGATTTCTGATTGTGTGTGTGTGTATATGTGTGTGTGTGTGTACAGCAGGCACCAGAGAGGGTGGGTCAGGGCGACGCTGTGTATGAAGTGGTGAGTCTTCAGAGGGAGGCAGAGAGAAGCAATGAAGGACGACTGGCCTCGCCCACTGAGGAAGAGGAGGCTGATGAAGGTATTGGTGTCTCTCTCGCTCTCTCTGCAGTTGTTTCGTTTCCACCCCTCTTACTCTTACAGTTAATCATATACAACATACACTGTAGTAAGCCACAGTACAAATTCTTAAAATCTTTAAAAAGCCAGTTATGCCCTCTCTGTCTCTGTGCATCGCTGATAAGATGCCAGAATTCTTCATCAACATGCCTTTCCCCAAATATACACACATATATATACACACTCGCATGCATGCACGAGCCACATCTCAAAGTAATTCGTCTTCCAAATCTTGCATGATTGAAAAATGTGACCTCACATTGTGCAGCGCTGTACCCCCATATCCCTCCCTGCCTGTAATATCAGAGAAAAACAAGACGCCTCTGTGAACATTCACGGCCACGAAAAAAGAAAATAATTGCTTTACCACAAATAGCTTGTCGGGGGGAGCATTCGCTTTACATTCCACGTATCCAGCACCTTTTTCTCTGGGTGGCATGAACACCTCATCTAAATGAGATCATATGTCCAGATATTCAGTTTGAAATAGAGGTTTACCAACACACACCTACTCTTTTGACAGCAATGCCTTGTCACAAGCACACGTATGCTGTTTATTGGCTGACATGAATCAACAGTGAAGTTTCATTTTGTTAAAGCACATAAACATTGGCAGAGATGCATGTACTTGTGTGTTTGAACATGTGTTTATGTGGGTCATGTGTAAGCGATTGTGGCAGGGCATGTGATAACAGTGATGTGTATAGATTAAGGGGAATAACTTGTGTGTGTGTGTGTGTGTGTGTGTGTGTATGTGTGTTTTTATATGTGAAAGAAAAGGCATGTAGTCTGTGTGCTCTACAACAGAATGTGTGTGTGCATGTTATATAGTGAGCAGCAATGATAGAGCAGCAATGGCAGAATCTCAGGGGTTTTGACAGCTACTTGTGTGATTATGCATGCTTCTGTGTATGCGCTCATGCGTTAAGCGAAAGTGGTTTTGTGTAGAGCCTGGTCCAGTCCTGTATAGACTTGTTATCTCATAGCACTACAGCAGTGTCAAACTACCATCAAACAACTCCCTTGTGACCTTTTTGGGTGAAATTCTTTGGCAGTCAAGCAGACCAGTGATCTCCCTAACCAGCCAGATAGCACCAGATGTAAATGTGGCAGCAGTATGAAAGAAAAATACAAAAAAAAAAAAAAATGTTCCAAACCTAGCTTGTAACAGCTGCATTGATGTAAACTGATAATTTGGCACCAATCTCCATCAATCAGAATATATGTCTTATGAAACCATGTTACTTCCAGTTTCCTGGAAGTGACTTGATTAAGACACCAAATTAAATTCAAACATAACCAGTTAAGGTGAGAAGCCACCAGAGCAGAGTGGATATTTTAAGTTCAATAATGACAGCTCTGTCAGAGGGATGGAGGCCAAACAGCAGTAACATTAAGAACACCAACACTAGCTGTTAGACTCCAGTGGTTTTCAAGAATGACCCAGTTTCAGCTCACTAATATAAACAGGACTGGCATTTCCACCTGACTCCTGGCTCGGCTGTGCAGGTGTTGCAGATTAGGCCTGGCCACAGTTCACACTGCACGCTTCATGATGTTGTTTTGGATAGAGGTGCACATTTCCGTGTTAATATAGTGTGTGTGTGTGTGTGTGTGTGTGTGCGTACATGCGTGCACCCCTATGTCACTTCGGAGGATTTTCTCATTCCACATTTCATAGTGTGTGGAATATCGCTTTATAGCAGCTAAATTAATTTAAATAGAGATCATCCTGTCGAATGAAATATTTAAAATGACTGTATCCTTTATTTCATAAATGCTAATACAAAGAAATAGCTTTACACTTTGCAGGTTTCTGAGTCACATTTTATCATGTAAACATGAATATAAAATATAAACTTAGAATATAGCACCACTTATTTAAAATGAAGTCAAAACATTTGTTGAAAAATTGTGATACAGCAACACGGGAACATCTAACATAAGAGGCCCCCTTTTCATTGTATTGTGTTGCTCCTCTCTCTTCTTTGCCACTGTCAACAGCCCTCTACTTTTTTCATCTTGAAGCACTAAAATGTGTTAACAGAGTGGGAGGCAGAAATCGTCGCCCAAAGTCACGAGTCAGCCACCAAGGCTGGAGCTGACGGCTTTCAACTGGCACTGCGGGAGCTATTCAGAGGGCTTTTTCTATAACGCCCCTCTCCTCCCCCAGAGCTGAAAATTGGAGGCGCTCAGGGCCGCGGAGCTGGAGGTCAGCCTCATTGTGTACAGAAATGAATACACTCCCAGTGTAGATGCCACCGCTGCGAGCACACACACACACACACACGCACACGCACACACACACACACACACACACACACACACACACACACACACACACACACACACACACACACATTCAGTTCATGTGGATGTATTTTTTTTTCTTCTTCTTCTTGGAAGCTGCAACGTAGAAAATAGGCCTGAAGCTGACATATCTTTTTTTTCTGTTTTCTTTTCACAACAGGCTTTGTGATTGTTGCATATTGTGCTCTTTTTGTTCCCCCTTTTATATACACGTGTGGGCACACACTTTGTGTTTCATATACGCTCAAACAAACTGTGATCAAACACATGCATGTATACATACAGCCCCCCTGCGTTGTTATTTATAGCTTAAACCATCTTATATCTGCATAATACAACACAATGAGACAAAAAGAGCTTGACTGATTCAATACATTGCTGTCAAATATGAATTGAGGGTTGGAAAAAAATGCAAGACAACATAAAGGACGTTATATTTGAAATTTAAGATATAAATTAAAATAGGGTAAAATGCTAAAGCTAACACATCTTAGCGGCACTGGTGGGGAATTTCTGCTCACTTTAATGTAGACAAAACCAATCCACTATGGCTTGAACATCAGAGAGATCCTGTTTGAAAGTAATCCTACAGTGAATGCACAGCCCCTCTCCAGATTAAAAGGTAACAGTAATGGCCCTCGTCTTCACTGTTTCTTTCATCACCTGGTAAGTTGGCAGTGGCATTGGACTCACGCTTCCTCGCCACGTGGCCTCAGCCAATCTGAGGACAGAGGCGGCAGCTTTGTGCGGGGTCTGAACCATTTGAAAGGGCTCATCAAGCATTTATAAAGACTTGAAAAGCTCCTGCTGAGGCTGTAAGGATGTATAGGAGCAGCAGTGCATTGAGTATAGTGGCTGCATGTTCTAGAAGAAAATGTCTTAAGTCATTATTTAATGCCAAGACCTCAGTAAAGGCTTCAGTGGGAGTGAATGATGCCTTTAAACACCTTTGAGTTATCAGTGAAACCTATTGCCATGCCCTGAGAAGTTCATCGCCCCCCCCCCCCCATATAATTCACTTACTCTTCGTTTACTCTCGTGCTCAGTGTGTACTATGTGCTGGACATACCATGTAAAGCTCTGTGGACTCTGTGTGTGTTTGTTCCAGTGGGCGGTTTCTCTGTGGTGATCAGTTCATCTCTCCAGCAGCAGAGCGGGCCAGACGGTCAATTAGTGCTCCTGCATCTAAACACAAGTGGTTCACTGTGCTGATTGCCTCTTGTCTGCCTCACGAACTGCCAGACAGTAGCACAGCAATAATGGAAAGTGTAGGCACCGCACAGGCACTTTTCCTCCATTTGACTGTGTAGCATCAATATTAACAGGTTTGAAAATGTACAATGCAGCACAGAGTTCCCCGACATATAAGTAAAAAAGGTTTAGTGATGCGTATGTCTAATTCCAGCGGATTGATGGCTCTCACAGAGCTGCCACTCTAATCCTTAAGATCGCCATCACATGTCCCCTCTTGTCTTTGACTGAGAGCTTAAACACAAAGACAGCTCCACACATTCGGGTTCAGACAGTTAAAGGTTTGTATTCTGATGTGGACAAAGGTTAGAGATATCAGGAATGATCTGTTTTTGCTCTAAATGTTTGTTAATATAACACAATATATTAATGTGTTTGTGTTCCCCACAGATAGCGACAGTGAAATCTCCAGCGGGACAGGAGATGTTTCCAAAGACTGTCCTGAGAAAATCCTGGAGTCCTGGGGAGGAATCCTCACCAGATGGTAAGGCCTCAAAAGAGAGAGGAAGTCTGAGAAATTTGGAAATTGAGAATGTTTAAAATTTAGATGAAATTAGATGTTGTAAGACAGTTGGAAGCTGGACAGAGGAAGGGAGGGAGACACAGGAGTAAGGAGGGGGACAAATGAAATACAGGAGAGGAATTTGAGTTATGGATTTGTATACAGCTGGACGATCTGAAAAAAAAAAATAGTGGAGAAATGGAGGGAGATGGACAAAGACTACTGTCCTGAGTCAGAATTAACCCTCAAATAAAAACCTTTTGTTCAGAAGCCGCATTTAAGATTGACTTTGTGAATTTCTGTGGAGAATCAGGTGTTTCTAGCTGTACCAAAAAATATATTTTGGGTAAAAGTTAAAAACAATTGCCCAAACATCTAGAGTAATAATAATAAAAATCAATCAATCACCATGTATTTAACTTTAGAGAAACATGGGAAATTTGAAGCTGAAAAACAGTAACTTTAAAGAGTAACTTAACCCCCAACACACTTTTTGTGCGTATATTTGTATTTAGTAGTGTTGTCCAAATCCAAATTTTACTGCAAAATACTAGAATTCTGTATGTGTTAGAAATATGCGTAGCGACTGCTCTCTGCTGGTTGAACCCCGACTCTTGCAATTAAATTTTGCTATTGACTGATCTGGTGGCAGGTGACATATATGGTGGCAGCCATCTTCACCTACAAAGGCACCCTCCTAGCCCCCTCCACTCCTCAGCGGCATGGAGGACTAACTTGGTGTGTCTTAACCCCCCCTACTGGGGGAATTGGACTTGATCATGAAAAAGTTGGCGTGTCAAAACAGTGAAGCTCTGACGTTGTGACGCTAATGGGACAGTAGTATCTCTCAGGGAGAGAGAGACAAAGCTGTCTCTCTCTCCCTGATATAGCTTTCCTCAAAGTGAATAAACTCTAGCTAGAGGGCCAGTAACCACGGTATTGTGGTATTTGGGGAAACAAAATACACAAAAACCTGGCATGATGTTGCTAACTAGCTGGCTCAATCTTGGCTCTGTGCCGCTAAAAGATGCAGATTGATTGATGGGTGCATGTTGTGATATTATTGGTTGAATTTAATTGGTACTTACTTACTTTTACGGAAGAAAACAATTGGATTTAATATAAGAAAACACAGAAATTATGTTTTAAGAAAAAAAAAATTGGCATATAATAAACATGTGCAAAATATGGCCAGGGATGTTATTATGAAACATTCAAAAAGGTCCATGATTTATTTTGTAACTTGTGAATGAATCAACTTCTAATTGGATATGGTAAAGAAAAATGAGTGTAAATGGAAAGTAGAGCAAACTAGTGTCAATATACCATGGGGAATCATAAATGCAATTACGTCAAACATTTACATTTTGCTCTTCATCTTGTGCAGAGGCACTATATAACGACACATTGATGCTGAAAGGTGAATCAGGCCCACCCCGCCTCATACAGACTTTGATTTACTGTATAGGGCTGGGGTCCTTTGACAGTTTTACCATCTCTCTTAGTATGGAAAACAGGTCCTTTGAGATACAGCCATTAATTTAATCTGCTGTAACATATACCGTCATTGTTCTAACGCTCAGTGCTTTTACAACAACCAGTGTTCATACATGCAGCCCTAGGTGCGGCACGATTAACTGAATGAGAGATGAAAGATGTGTCTGGCTTTTCATTTGATTTCACAGCCTGTTTTCTTGCTGTTGCATCAGCACAATGAAGTGAAGTAGTTTATCGGGAAATTGCTTTCATATGGCCTCGATAAATGCATTATGATGAGATTTCAAGCATCATTAAAAAGAGCTGACTGTGTGTTTTCACAAAAGCAAGATTTTTTCTCATGTGGGAGAACTCTTAGAGCATGGCAGCACTGCAGTCAATACACCACAGTATTGCACTATAGCTAGTGTAGTAGTTACAGTAATACTGTACTCAATATGATATTTAAGGGGTTGATAGTAGGGATGTCACGATTATAGATTTTCTTGGTATGATTATTGTCAGAGAAATAATCACGGTTTTAAGATTATCACGATTATTATGCATTAATTAATTTCACACTATAAATGTGTAAAATCACATGAACACTCCTTATAGATCTTTAAGTTTCATTTATTTCCATACCAACATAACAAAAATAATATAGCAACAAAGAAAAGTAACCAAAAAGTGGTGTGCAGACTCTACTTTTACTACATGCTTCTTTGTGGTCCAGCAGTCTAAGTTTTTTCTAGGATGTGCGTGTCTTTTTGTTCTCTTTAAATTACAATTACACAAATAAATTGAGAGCATATCTCGTGCAGTGTTAATAATAAATGAAACAGACATCGTGCTGGAAGGACAAGTCCAACATTTACTCAACACAGATGGGAGGAAGCAAAAGGAGGTAATACTAATGCTAAATGTTCACTGACTGAGGACCTTGAGAAGACATTACGTATATCTTCCACATTGCACACTGACACTGAAACAGTCTGACTACTAAAAAAAGGATTTGAACTTGTAACAGTCGAATATATGAAATGTGCCTTTAACATGGTGTATACTGTGTCGTCTAGCAGCAACGTCATCAAGCAACGCCTGTTATGATTTGAGTCTGTTGAGCGCACCCAACACTGGTCGGACGTATACTTATGTGCTCCTGCTTTTTCTTTTATCTCTCAACACAACAGTGATGGTTTTAAGTATGTGTGGCCACTATTTGGTTCATGTATGAAAATGTAGTAGCCGTACAACCGGGCTTGGTAAGCTTGGAGTGTTTTTAAGTTGATGTAAAAATAAACGACGAGCATTTGTGAAATCCCACACTCGTGTGGACGTGAGTTTCTGCCTGTCGTCTCACTCCAAAGAGCTATACGGACCCAAAACCATTACAACCTCACGCTGTGTGCACACACAAAATGCAAAACTATCCATCAAAAAAGTTTTTGAGACGTGCCTTAGCTTGTCACGTTGCACTGTAAGCCCAACTGCCAACTGAGATTAACGTATTTTAACCCAGTTATTGTGCATTTACCTTTACTTGCGCATGTAAAGCCAGGTGGTTGTCCCGCAGGTGTTGTATCATGTTGCTCGTGTTTGATCCTTTGGCCGCGACTTTTTTGCGGCATGTTTTACAAACTGGAAAGCCGTCGTTAACAATGACCCCTTGGTCATTTTGCGATAGCCAAAATGATACCACACGGCTGACTTTTGTTGTCTGTTTTTTTGGGGGGGGAAGTCTTCTTCATCCGTACTTCATCACTCGGAGACGCCGCTTGTGTAACTTTGTTTTCGTTCTGTGCGAGTTACGCTGACCTACTGTATGTGGTTCCGCATCCCGGCATAATCTTTGGAGAGTGACGGTGTTGAGGAATCTCTACGAATAATTAATCGTGGCATTTAAAATCGCGGTTAATAGTGAAATCAAGTAATCCTGACATCCCTAGTTGATAGTACTGTGATTAATACTATAATAAATCAATCTGTACTTAACTGACTACTGTACTCAATACTGAAGTTAATACTGTAATAATTTCAGTATGTTTAAATAAGGCAGCATACCTAGAGCAGCTTTAGTAGAGCCATAGCAGCAGTCGTAGTTGTACTGGGCAGCTCCCATTGTAAACGTGTGCATCAGTATGAATAGGTAATTGGTGCTCAGTCAGCCTAACTTATGTGGCACAAAGCATTTTGGCAATAATACCATAATTAATAACTGATTTGCTCTTAAGACAAAGTGGTGTTCCTGTTTAGTGCAACATGAGTACTTTTGTGTGACAGGCGAATAACTCAGCATTTGATGGACTCGATTTGTCTTCATACTGTCACCGCACATTAAAACAATTATCAAATCTGTCCAACTGCACTTCTCATTAATATTTAAAGTGGCTGAATTAGATTAAATGAGATTATAGAATAATGGATTACCTCCTGCGTGTTGTGCGTCAGGCATGGGAACCTGTCCACCCGTCCGAAGGGTTTGCCCTCGTTGGTTCGCAGTGGCATTCCTGAGCCACTCAGAGCTGAAGTCTGGCAGCTGCTGGCTGGTTGCCACGACAACCACGACCTGCTTGAGCACTACCGCATCCTCATCACCAAGGTAAACGCACACACATGTACACACACTCACAGACCATGAAGAGACATGCTTATACCAAGTTTACATTTCCTTTATATGTTTTTTAATGGAAGTATATGAGGTGGTATAGAGCATGTCCAGGATGTTTGTACGCTGTTCACACACACATGGCTGTGTGTAATTAATTTCAGTATATCCATGCAATTTTATTTATTTTTTTTTTTTCATCATATCCTTATCTGAAGGCTGGCACACCAACAGGCTTTTATCGGTTTCTACTGTATTTCATGTCTCAACATCAGCTAAAAAAGGCTCTTAACAAAAGTCAAGTTACTTTGACTCAACAGGTTTAGGTGCACTTGTCTCTTCTCCTGCTCTGATTCCATGTAAACTTAAAATTTGGAAAACTGTTCTCACAGGTTCTAGATGGTACTATAGTCAATGAATTTCACTTGTTTGCGTATGGAGATGTGATTCTTTAGCATACAAACTGCTGGAAGAATTATTTTCTCTTGTGTGTGGATGGTTCTTACATCTTACAGTAGCTAAAACCCATTGGTTGTTACAGGTGCAGTGCAGCTCTTGGTTGTGTTTTGGTGGAGACCAGATGAGTGGTGCTAATGTTCATGATATCATGTCACTAGGATGAGGATTAAGTGGGATATCTTTTTCCTTATTATGTGAATTACAGTATGTCTGAGAGTACCAACATCATCGACAACACAGCTGTTCCTCTGAGCTGTGCATCTGTCATTTAGCTGTGACATTTAAATGCATGTGATGCATGTTGCAGGGCTATTACAGCTCTTGTCAGCCCTTTGGTCTCCCACAGAGCTTGCAAGAATTCAAAATGAATTTTTGGACCTTTTAGTGTTTAGCAGTTGGGTGTTCCTCAGGCTTTGTCCATGTGTAATTCTTTGGTGCAGTTTGACTCTGACTGTTGGTTTGGTTGTGTTTAAGGTGTTGTACAAGTGCAAGTCAAACTCTGGTGCACCGACCCTGCCTGAAAATTGGATTTGGATCTGCTGCTGACTAAGGTCACTTTCACATCGTTTGTTTAAGTGATCAAGAGCAGGAGAATAAAAAGATTCATTGCTGCCTTTTTAGTTCTGGTCCAGTTTGTGTTTACTCTGGATAAATCAAGGTAACTCACTGATCGGACAGTTTTGGCAACTGTCATCCTGCATCATCAGTACTACGTGGACCCCTGGACAGTTTACAGTTTACACTTAATTTCATTTTTTTGTTCTTTCCCAGAATGACTTACAACTTGTGCAAGGCTGGAACAAATTAACAGTAAACATGTCACCCAAAATGAATAGCAGACAAAGCCCAAAGTGTTGCCACTATATTATTGGCAACCAGTGGTAAGGAGGTCATAGTTAAGGTTAAAGGTCAAATGGTCAGAGAGCAGAGATGGAAAGACTTTTCCATTGACATAAATATTGAATTGGAATTAGGAAGCAAGCTGTTAAACAGTCTGAACCTCTATTGGTACATATTTTAAAACAAATAAGAATGTTAGGTTTAACTGTGGGAGCATTTAGTTATATAGATAGCTATTAAATGTGAATTGGACTGCATGAGATGACAGGTTTGCCTGGCCCTGTGAAGACACCTTTGAGTCAGGTACACATAGCGTTGCATGTTTGTGATAAAGACAACAATCCATCATAGTGTAATCCAGTAAACATCTCTTACTTTGCTTGATATTTTAAGGATTTCATGAATATCTTATTACCACCTTAGTGTCACATTAACTCTTTATCTTTTATCTTTTTAGAGTTTTTTTCAAGCTCACATTGCTATGCCAGCTTTCTATAGTTATCAATCGTAGTAAATCTAAGCTTTCCAAATGTGATGGAGTGGTTGTGCAAACCAGGTCCATGACCCACTGTAAACAAGTAGGTAGAGTGACAAAGCCCCACTGGACCAGGCAGCAGCAGTAGGAGGAGGTGATATAAACACACAAAGCAGACAGAGATCTTGCTTTTATGGATAATGCAATAGTCTTTCTCTTATCCACACAGAAGTGGGTGAAACTACCTGCCTCGATCAATAAGCGGGGGGGGGGGGGGGTTTGATGGAAAGAAGAAAAATGGAGAGAAGGAGGAATGTGGACCCATAAATATGAGGTTGTAGTCACTGAGGGAGAATTGGAGAAAAGGAATGTGTGTAAACGTCAAGAGAGCTGGCAGATTTCTCTCGTTCGTGAGTCACATATTTTTTAGTTGTCTTTCACCTACTGTGTAAATTTCTCCCTTTGTCTTTCTCAATCTTTCAGCGTCTGTCACCATCTTTATCTGTTAAATTAGGACAGTTTTTCTTTGGCTCTTTATGTCCCATTTCTCTACCTTGCTCTCTCCGTCCTTCCATCTCTTTCCCATAGTATCTAGTTGTCCAATGTGCCTCTCTCTTTCTCTTTCTCTCTCTCCTTACATAAGACCAAGCTTCTGTAGTTCAGCGCTCATTTATTCTCATTCCACTGGGTGGGCCATGCCCACATCCTCTGTCTTGCTGGAGTAGTGATGGTATTGATAGGCGGGTGGCCGGGCTATTAATAGCTGCACCAAATGAATGGAACTGAGGGAAGATGGAGGAGGGAGGGAAAGAGGGAAGAGAGGCAAATGACAGCAGCGGCACAGGGGATGTGGAGCTTATTAATGTCTGTTGTCTGGGCTCAGTGACGACGGTAATGCTGATTGAATTTTAAGTAATTGGACTGTCGTCCTTATGGAAGGGGTATCTATATCCTAAATCACAGCAGTTCAAGCATTATTTTTGTTGCCCACAGCTGATGGGTGTTAACCACATACAGTTTGTAGTCTTACACTGATGTCACAAAGCTGTACTTGACGATTGAACTGATTTGATTGTGATTTTTAGACTCATAAAAACAAACCACAATATCCAACGATCATCAGTTTAATTATACTAGTACACTGCCTCAAAGGGCGCCTGTTTGCAGCTTTCTCAGGAACTGCTTAACCAAATTACTTCATATTCGACATTGCACTTCCTGCCTTAACATAGTTGCATCCCCTTGTGAACATAGAGTAAAACTGTAATTTGTTAACAGCTAGCTATTTCAAACTAGGGAAACAAGTGCTCATTCCGACAGTTGCATCACTGATGCTTGAAAGGTTTGACTTTGCTACAGTGTAATGTCTCCAGTCTCTCTGGTGTCTCTCTCCTCGTCTGTTGTTGAATGTACTGAGAGAAAATTGTACCCAACATGTCGTCTGGCGGTGTAACAGTAAATGGCGTCCCCTCTCAGTACAGTACACAGTGTGTACATAATGCGTTACTAATAAATATGTCCTGTAGATCTCATGAGCTCGCACTCAACACGGCCCTTCCTTGTATTCTCAGCAATTGCCCCCTCCTAATGTGAAGTTGTTTGGATGAACGGTTGTGTAGTTGTGTAGGTTGTGTAATTGAAAATGAGCCACAGCATCTAAGTTGTATACCCAAAAAGGTTAAAAAAAAAAGTCAAGATCAGCAAGTGTGTTTGTTTGGTTTTCATTATGTGCATAACACTAGCATTTTTTTATAGCACCACTCTCTCATTGTAAAGGTCTTAAAAGCTCAAGGGTTTATCTTAATAGAACTATCAGACACCTTAAATTAAATATCCTTTAGCCTTGTATATTTAAGCCTTAGAAATAAATCCGGTGCAGTTCTTCTCTAATATAATTTACCTTTGAAGGCTCATGTTATTGACATAGCAACAAACATATTTAGATGGAAAATTTTGCAGCATTTCTATGAAATCTATCTTAGCTTTTAAGTTAGTGCTGGAAAATGCCACGTTAAGGCAAGCACCTCAGTTTTCTTTTTTGTGGGTTTCAGTACAAGTTCTATTTAAATGTGATTTAAAATTAGAATTCAGATCACATCTTATTGTCTGTTAGCCCATGTGATACGATCGTGATGTTCAGCAAACGGGGAGGACAGGCATCAGGAGAATATTGAGAACTGGAGAGATAAGAAACATTTAATGTCTTTATCTGCCAAACATTTGTGTCACTCATTTTGTTAATACATCTTTAAGTTGTGAGTGTAGTGTATCCATGCCTGTGCTTTTACTATGGTGAGCATTGCTGTAATGACAGCAAATGATTATATGGCTTAAACACACAAATGTGATCTGGTCAGTAGTACAACACAAAAAAATGTGTCATTTTCAGTGTTCAACTACAAACTTACAGTCATTAAAGACACGCAGACCTACACCCTCACCTCACAGCGGTAATAATGGGTCATAGGTTTTGGAGTGCTCTCTATTTTATTCCCATACCTGGCTACTCTAATTTACTTAGACGGCGATAAATTAACTGCGACTTTTACAAATTTAGCACCCATATCATTGTTTACCATTGAAATTAGAGTCACACTCATTTAGACTTAGACTAGATGGTTGGTAGGTTTTACATGGTGATAGCTGAGGTGAGGTACTGCCTATTTATGATGTGCTGCATGTAAGATGGTGAAGAGCTGATTCATAGAAGGATTTTCTGAGGTACAGTAGTTTATTTAATCCCTTACCTGTGGTGACTGAGAGTTTAAAATCTGATAAAACATGTTGCAAGCCTCCAAAGTGATTTCGTCACCGGGTGAGGAGTTCATTCCCAAGGTGAGAACCACTGGGTTAGACTAACCCACTGATCATTTAGCAGCATGTGGCCCGTGGCCAGCCAGCTTGATATCATAGATCGCAAGTGTCATGTTCAGTGCTGTACTGCTCTCATCTACAGTCATCACACACAGAGTCACAAATGCACACTCTGTCACACACACACCATGGCCTCAGGGCATATGAGACATTCACAAATAACTTCTTTCTCAGCTGGTGCAGCACTGGGTTTTAGGGTCAGGGTTGGGGGGGTTGCTAGTGACATTTGAACAACCTTTTCGTCTCCCTAGAGTCGAACAAGCCCAAGGTGTGCCACCACGCTTGAACCCACAGCTTAAAAAAGCTCAACCAGCTATTTCCAGGATCGCCTTTCCAAAGACCAGTC